GTCAATTCTTTTAGCTCACAACAACTACCCTTCTCTTTTTCATTTTAGTCTCAGCACACAAACCCTTTTTTTTATTTAAGCTCACTCAGATATGGTTGTCCTCTTGGGTAGGTATGTCGGTTTTGACATTCCATAGAGGTATTTCTGGTAAGCACTCAGTCCCTCCTAAAATTTAGCATTATGCACATTTGATCACAAAGGTTGATCAAAATATTATTTCTTTAAAGCACAATGATCATATAAAAAATTGATCAAGAAATTTGGCTTTAAGCACAGTTAACGAAAGAATGATGCGACAATGATTCGATTATTCAGTATATACGAGAGAAATAAATGAAGATCTGTAAGAACAAGTTTACAGATTCTGATATTCAAAAAAAATGAATGTATATGTATCAATGTAAAAAATATCAGAAAACAAAATTGAATACAAACGAGTGTATTACCACCGAAAAAGATTTTCATATAAGAGACGTGATAATAACAGTTTGAAGAATAGCTGAAACAGGTATTGGAGTTATGTACGACGAGAAATTACGAAAGTAAAATCTCAAGAAATACCTGTTCAGAAAATGTACTCGTTTCAGAAAACATTTCCATTTCCAAAAACATTTATTCAAAATTTCTAGAGACTCCCCCTAAAAAACAGATTTAAGTAATGATTCAATTAATGCTCAAAAAAATAAAAAAAAATTAAGAAAACATTTTAAGTACGGGTTCTAAACTGAAATGTTCAGAAGTCTCTTTTGGAATAAATTACAACTCCCCCTGCATTGGTGTACCACTGAAATGATATTCTGATCAGCACAAAATTGACACACCTGCAAAACCAGATTAAGTAGATTTTGGTACCCAAACGAACTTGGGTCCTATTTTGTTAGTATCAGGTTGGGGTATGTTGTAATTACCAAACCATTTATTTCTATAAGGTATTTTTTTTTTCAGCACTATTAACAGGATGATTATATACAAAATATGACTCATGCCAGTTATTATAATCATACTTGTTCTTACCTTTCCAGTTGTTCTGATAGCTGTTATCTCCATGCCACCTGTTGAACCTTTTGTTATTGACAAAGTTATTGGTTCTGCATGTTGAGCACATAATCCTTCTCTTGCTAAGATTGATCAGATCATTAGTGGATTTCACAAT